TTATGGAGCATAGACACATGGAAAACCGGATGAACTCCCGATAGACTGGGAGGCAAAACAAGCTCATTAGCAACCTCCCCAACTCACCTCAACACCTCAAATGGACCAATAAACCTCGGACTCAGCTTGCCCTTCTTTCCGAACCTCATGATACCCTTCATCGATGAGACTTTCAAGAGAACTTTATCGCCCACCATAAATGATAAATCACGAGCTTTCTGATCCACGTAACTCTTCTATCTGGACTGTGGTGTGCGAAGATGCTCCTGAATCAACTTTACCTTATCCAAGGCATCCTTTACCAAATCCGTACCATAGAACCTAGCCTCGTCGGGATCAAACCAACCGATGGGGAAATGACATCGCCGATCATATAAGGCCTCAAATGGAGCCATCTCGATGCTGGACTGTTAACTGTTGTTATAAGCAAACTCGGCCAATGGTAAGAATCAATAGTAACAATGGAATAAGAAAAAATAAATAATGATTCTTTAACATAATATCAATTTAAAACCTCCAATTATCACATGCCAATTTTAACACGTAAGAGCCTCCAAGTAATTATCAAGTCTCAAGTCAAGAAAGAAATATCAGGTATAATCGGACTCCTAGTAATATCACACATGATTTATGCCGAGGTCGTACGACCTGATCCAGAATAGTATGTACACTGCCGAGAGTCGACCGACGCGAACCATAGATGCATCTAAATATACTACTGAGGCGTTCGGACAGATCCCAGGAGTAGAGAAACTCTACAAACTCCGATTAACGACTACTACACATGAATAATACTCAAAGAAGGCTTAGTTTCCACTAACAATCAAGTATTCCACCAAAAACTCAAGGTAATGAAGCTCGGTCTCATAAAATCTCTTATCCAATTTTAATTATAAATTCGAGTAATTAAACTAACGAGTTGGGTTCAAATAATACAAGTATTGCATGGTAAAGTCCTAAGTCTACCCGGAAATAAGCATGATTTTAGCTACATACAGACTCTCGTCACATCATGCGTACGTAGCACCCACAATTATTAGCAAATAATAATTTAAAACGTCTACGGGGATAATTTCCTCTTACAATATTAGGCAAGAGACTTACCTCATTTTCAAGTCCTCTTCCCGGTCCATAAATCACACTAATCGCCTCAAATCGGTGTCAAACAATCTGAAACTAGCCAAAGGTCGTACAAACTAATCAATATATGCTCAAAAGTTCATAATTTAACTATTAGAGTAATTATCCAACCCAATTTGAAAAATTTCTAAAATTCACCCCTGGACCCATGTGCCCGGATTCCGGAAATTTTTGTAGATAAATGTTACCCATAACCTTATGAACTCAAATATATATTTCTACTCAATTCCATAATCATCTTCATAGTCTAATCTCATTTTTACCAAAACCTAGGTTTTTCAACAAAATCCTAAAATTTCTATAATTTACATGTTAAAATCTACCCATAATCTATGTATTGAATTTACATTGGGTAGAAATTACTAACCTTAGAATGCTAGATGAAACCCTCCCCTCCCTCCCTTTCAAGAGCTCCCAAATCGGCCGAGAGAAGTGAAAATGAGAAACAATGGCCTAAATCCCGCTTTTTAAACATAATACTGCCCATGCATTCCTTCTTCATGATCACGCAAGGAACCTCGCGATCGCGAAGGCAAAACTTGCCCAGGCCCAGAAACAATGCTTCGTGAATGCGAGGGGAGAGGCGCGATCGTGAATGCGAGGGGAGAGGCAAAACGTGAACGCGGTCCACCCTTTGTGAACACGAAGGATAATAGCAACTGAACCCCTCAGGCCCCGTTCTTCTACGCGAACGCAGAACAGGATACGCGAATGCGACCACATGATCGCGAACGCGAAGAACAAATCACCCCTGCCCCTAATCCTTCATCGCGAACGCGTGGAACCTCCGCGTTCGCGAAGAAGGAAACCAGAACCAGCAAATTCTGCAAATTTGGACTTAGCTTTGGGTGTTCCGAAACACACCTGAGCCACCCGGGACCTCGTCCAAAGGCACCAACAAGTCCATAAACATAATACAGACCTGCTCGAACCCTCGAAATACATAAAATAACATTGAAACTAAGAATCGCACCCAAAACCAAATTAATCAACTTATGAACTTCAAACTTCTTCAAGTAGCTTTGAACGCGTCGAATTATACTTAGACAACTCGAAATGACGCCAAATTTTGCGTACAAGTCATAAATCACCATACAGACCTATTCCAGGTTCGAAATCCCAAACGGATATCGATAACACCAAAGTCTACTTCAATCCAAATTTAAAGAACTTGAAAACCTTCAATGCGCCAACTTTCAACATTAAGCGTCGAAACGCTCCCGGATCACCCGAAACTTGATCCGAACACAAACCCAAGTCCAAAATTATCATACGAACCTATTGGAACCATCAAATCCTGGTTCTGAGGTCGTTTACTCAAAATGTTGACTCAAGTCAAACTTGGCCATCTTAGGCCACTATTAAGGAACTAAGTGATCCGATTCCAACCCGAACCCTTCCAAAATTAACCAACCACCCCCACAAGTCATAAAACAGTAGAAACACATATAGAGAGTCTTAATTAGGGGAACGAGGATCTAGGATCTAGAAAGCAAAACGATCGATCAGATTGTTACAATAACTATGATAAAAGAATATCAAATGCCATATATTTTTAAATCAAATAACGTTCACAAAAATATGTTCAAATCATCAAATATGATATTAGATCTAGGGTATATCTACTATATCCGTAACAAATTATATAATGCAGAAAACTTGTGGTATGTGATCAATAGATGTTCAAGCCCTCAATTTGGATAGCGCACGTACTTTGACCAGCTACTACAAAGTTTTGAAGATTATTAGCTTGAAAACAGGTAATATAAATCATCTCTTAACATCAAGAGTTCAAAAACTATGCTATGAGGCTTATGCAAATTAGAACATCAAATACAAAAAAATATATATACCTTTTTCATGTCTATATTGATAATTATAAAAGAGCAATAGAGTTGGTGTAATGCAATCAATGAAATTTATCACAATTCTCATTTATTGATAACTCCCTAAATTACTCCCCGGCAAGAAAAATATACTGTTGAGAGGGTGTTTTCTTTTATTTTCTTAAAATTTAAATTCATTCTCATTCTCTGTTCGTGTTATCCTATAGTTTTATTTTGTTATATATAATTTATGCACATATATAAGTGGTTTCATTTTCTTGTGTGTGTGTAAGATAATGAATAAATTTTTTAAATGTATCGAGACCTTTTGATTGTTTGATTGTAATATTGACGAGATTGAATATAATTTGATATTCAGTGGTATGATTGCCTCTAGTGGTAAATAGGATGTCTTCGAAGGAAATTTTTTCAAAACATTAATCTAGATATCATTATCTTTGTACGCCTATGAGGAGCCAATTGATGATCCAAGCATTGAAAAGATTCATGGACTATTTATATTGGGCGAAGTGCACCATTAGCTATTTTTTGGGCAGTTGTTTAAGTTTTAACCAGGTTTTACAAATTATTTAAGTTTTAGCCAATATTTAAGAAAAGATACTGCCTGCTTCACTTCTTTTTCTTCTCGCTCATTGCCTGCTTATCTTCTTGATTTTTATTTTCACGTCTTCTTCTTATCATCTACATCAACTAGGATTTTATCTAGCAACCAAGCATGTCATATCATGCTCGTCACCTTATTATTACAAGAGTACCAATTAAAGTTTGAATGTGGAATTCAAACTTAAGTACACAAGTTTATGAATATATGTATCATTTTAGTAATTTAAATCTTAAAAAAACTACATCAAATTGGCCACTACTATTGTTGCTTCTTTCTTATTCTCTTTATTCTTTCTTCTTCTCAAATGTCCTGAAGTAAAGAACCACAACGATTAAACTTTAGGACACACGTCAGAAATTTGAAGTACATAGTTCGAACTTCAAAATATAGTGTCTTTAAAGTTTCATTTGAAAAAAATTAAGCTTGAAGACATATTATCCTAAAGTTTTAAACTGAAAAACTAAACTTAGGATAGCGTCCTGAAGTTTTGAACTGAAAAATTAAACTAATGGACATATTGTTCTGAAGTTTGAGGAAGTGAAGAATATAAAGAAACACTATCCACCCGCTTATTAAGATGTGGCTAAATATTAAATAATTTTCATTGATAGTTAATACTTAAACACCAATCGTAAAAGCGGCTACCTGGGGAATTGTTTTTTCAAAAATAGCCATATTTACAACTAATAATTGAAAAATAACCACAGTTTCAAAAGTAATCAATATTTAGCCACTTTTCATGTAAAGATAAAATTTGAACAAAAACACTCTTAAAAATATGAAAATATTCCAGCATAATATGTTGGAGTTCGAATTTTTTACATATGAGATTCCAACATAATATGCTGGAATTTTATAATGTGTTAGAGTTCCATCATAATATGCTGGAAGTTTATATGTAGGAGCTCCATAATCCCACATATTTATGTTGGAACTTTTAGTGGCCGGAGTTCCAACATAGAGGGTGTTTGGATTGACTTTTAAGCTGATCAAATCAGCTTTTAAGTTCTTTTTAGTTTTTTTCAGTGTTTGGCAAAATTAAAAAGTGCTTAAAATAAGTTAAAAATTGCTTAAAACAAGCCAAAAACAATAAGTTGGGCAACTCCAACTTATTACTTTTTTGGCTTAAAAGCTATTTCTGTTGAAAAAAATACTTTTTTTAAGCCAATCCAAACGGGCTCATAATATGCCGGAAGTTTATATGCAGAAGTTTCATAATCCCGCATATTATGCTGGAACTTTCCGTATTTCAGCAAAATATTGGTTATTTTTAATAACTTCAGGCTATTTTTTAATTTTCAGTCCGAAAACTGACTAGTCCGTGCTATTTTTTACCTTCATACATCTTATATTGGCTAATTGGTCAAGGCCCAATATGGAGGCCGAAAATGGTCCTCCCAAAAAGCATAGATGTCATCAATAAAATCCCAATGTTTGAAAGCGCAGGCTTTTCAGCATTCCACTTAAATCACTCCTTTTCTTTCTAGAACTAGAACTAGAACAGATATTAGCAGTCTCATCTTATCCCGCGAGTTTTTTTTTTTACTCCTGAAGTAATTCTCTACACAATGTCTTATGTACCTCCTCACCTGAGAAACTTTTCTGCCGGCAAAACCACCACTCTGAACAGTGACGGCGCCGCCGCCGATTACTTCTCATCAAAACTCAGCTCGCATCAGTCCAGAATTCATTGCAATGGCGAGCTCGACAAGTCCTCGTCCAACGGATACTCTAATTCATCTCGCCGGAGCTCCGTTAATTACTCGACGGCATCGAGAACGGCCATCCCTGACCCTGAGTTTCCCCAATGGAAGCCTTCCGAACGTGTTCTCCGTCTTAAATCCGAGCAGGTTTGAATATTCAGTAGCACCAGGAAGTGATGTTATTTAGGTTATCAGTATTTGAATTGTCCGTTTCTATTTTCGGTTAAAGTGTTACATTTTTTTACGTGTTCTTAGGGTTTATGAAAATTTGCTGAACTTCAATTTAGCGGTTTAATTTTGTTTGTGGTGCCTTGAATTTAGCAAAATGAGAAATAAGTTTGCATATATTTCGCTAATTGGCAGTTGAAGTGTTTTTTTAAGCTATAGAAGGCAGTTTATTAAAATGCTGCATGATGTTTGTGCCTGTAACATTCTCTAGTTTGAGGTATATTTGTGTTATTCCCTAGTGCACGAGAACTTTACTTGTATCTTTAGGCCTTCACTGCAACATTATGATTATTATTTTTGTTATATGAACTTTTACATGCTAGAGAAATTGCTATATTATGTTAAACTTTGGATATTTCTGTGGTAAAATACCAGTAGTTTATTTAGTATCTAAGTGCTGCCAATATCTGCTAACTGCAATTTGAGGAAATGCAATGTATGAAAAGTTTAATTCCTGTTGACTTACATGAATTGTCAATCTGTTATTGTTTTAATTGGTGATCCTGTTTTACGTGTTTGATCCGCCTTTTGATGTACATTTTTATCTGCAGATAGAAGAGATTCGATTAAGGCTTAACGTTGATGTAAATGTTGCCCCAGGCTCAAGTTCTGCACCTGCACCTATTGAATCATTTCCTGATATGGTTAGTTGAATAATTAAATTCATCGTTGACAAATCACTATATTTACTTTTTAATTTAAGGGCATAATTAAGTTATTTGGATCCTGCTTATTTGTTCTCCCTGCAGTGCTTGCATCCAAGCATCATGAAGGATATTGAAAAGCATGGCTACACTGCACCGACTTCTATTCAGGCTCAATCCATGCCAGTTGCTCTTAGTGGCAGAGATCTCTTGGGTTGTGCTGAAACTGGTAGTGGGAAGACCGCTGCGTTCAGCATACCTATGATACAGGTTGCGAATTTCATGTCCATGTCATATTGCGAATCTGTCAGTGTGGTACTTGATCTTGCTTATATGAGATGCTTCAATTGTTGTGATGTTTAATAATTACGATACATGTTATTCTCTTTCCATGCAGCACTGTTTGGCTCAACAACCTCTTCAACGTGGTGATGGACCTTTGGCATTAGTGTTGGCGCCTACGAGAGAGCTTGCGCAACAAATAGAGAAAGAGGTGGATTGCGGCACTTTTAAAATTTGTTGCATTTTCTTCATATTCTGCATATATTTGTTTCATTTTTTTTTGAAGAGGAGCCTTGGCGTAACTGGTAAAGTTGCTGCCATGTGACCAGGAGGTCACGGGTTCGAGCCGTGGAAACAGCCTCTTGCAGAAATGCAGGGTAGGGCTGTGTACGATAGACCCCTGTGGTCTGGCCCTTCTCGGACCACGCGCATAGCAGGAGCTTAGTGCACCGGGCTGCCCTATTTGTTTCATTTTTCCTTTTTCACTGTGGTTTCACACTCTCAAATTCTGATCTTGATCAGACCCTTGGACTTGCTCCTATTTCTTTTTATTATGTAATCGATCAATATGAACAACACTAGTTTCTTTTTCTCTCTTTTCGGTTTTATTGAAAACATAAAAGACTCTCTTTAATGTGGTGCTAATTGAACTAATAATCATATCAAAAGGGACCTGAAAAACATAATGGCTTGCTACTCTACGCTTGCTTCGCTTCTTGAACCTCGAATAAATGGTCATCCTTCAAAAGCAGTCTTGTTTAGTTAATTACATAAATTACTAACTTATGCTACCGAAGCATGCTGTTTCACCTTGCCTCTCTTTTTTCATGTTGGTTTTAATTAATTAACAGGGTCTCAATGATTCACAAGAGTGGACTTCATTATCACTAGGTTCCAATTATGCATTGCTTTGTTGATTTGGTTTTATTACTGTACAAAGCCTCCTCGTCTTACTTTGAAAATATTCCTCATAACCAATAATTTCGCATGTGAATTTACCCGTGTTCATTATGACCAATATATATAGTAGCCAGACATATATAATATGGCCATGATGTTAGACAAGAAAAATCTCAATTTATTTTATTTTGCCTTGTAAATATTGTGTCTGTACTTGAACTGCTACACATTGTCTTTTCAGGTTACGGCTTTCAGTCTGTCACTGGATTCCTTTAAGACCGCAATTGTTGTAGGTGGGACAAACATTAGTGAACAGGTAACTTCATTTTTTAATATCATTATTAGGGTGCTCTAGTATCTGTGTGGTTCATACATACTACATGAGGATAAATAAAGCAGATATCTCTTCTTTTACTCTTGAATTTATTTTTGGGTTGTACCTTGGTACAATTATTTTCATCTTTTATGTTACATGATGATGCAAGTCTAGCCTTGTCATATTTTGTAATTGTGGTTTTTATTGGATGCAAGACAGAGGTCTGAACTTCGAGCAGGAGTACATATAGTGGTTGCTACTCCAGGAAGACTTATAGATCATTTACAGCAAGGAAATACTTCCCTCTGCAGGATCTCTTTTGTTGTTTTGGATGAGGCTGATAGAATGCTTGATATGGGGTTTGAACCTCAGATAAGAGAGGTATACCTTCTATTTCAATTTTGTTTATCTTATCTTTTCAAGTGAACATTATTTTCCATTTTACCTGTTAGGCTGATCACCTATAACTCATGTTCTATACCTCCCTGATGCTGTGAGGAGTATATTGCTGTTTTCTAATTTCTTTACATACATTTGTTAGTCAATTTAGTAGCTGTTTTGCTACTATAAACTACATAACAGTGGTTGATAATACTTTTTTACATTATTTTATTTGGCTGGTATCTTTTTGTAAAATCGGAAAACCTCTCATGTCATTTGACTCCTGATCACCATTTGTTCATTGGCTATTGTAATTTGTTATAGAGATCTATTTGGCATCAAACTGGATTGTTTGGTCTGTGGTTCTAGACTTATTTGATTATGAAACACCATAAATGACAACTTCCAAATATTACTCTGTCGTAGGTGATGCGAAATCTTCCAGAAAAGCATCAAACACTGCTCTTCAGTGCCACCATGCCAACAGAAATTGAAGCATTGGCACAGGTTAGGTTTCTATTTACTTCTTCCTTGTATTAGTCAAGGTATTTAACCTAGTATCCTAGTGGGCTTATTTTGTGGATGCTAGGATTCTAAGATCGCACGGGTAATTCTAAGCATGATCAGATTCCATGTTGACATCTACCAATGATATACCATGCGAATACAATGTCGGAACAATGAGAACAAGGTCAAGCTAGAAATTACTATTCAATTGGCAATACTTGTTAGTAGTGGTGGCAAAATGGTTAAAAGAAAACAGTTAACCACTCATATTATCCATATTAAAAAATGGGTTGGATAATGAACTTTTAAAAACGGGTCAAATATGGATAAGAACCATATTATCCATTTAGAAAATAGATAGCCAATGAGTTTAACTTTTACATTTGTAAAACTTTAAATTGGGGGTTCCTCAAGTTTGGGAGACTAGGAATTCTTCCAAAGTGATCATATTCATGAAGCCATGGATAATATGGTTACCCATATTATCCGCCGGTTAACCCGTTTTTTATCCGTATTAAATATGGGTCGGGTCGGATAATTTACCCCGTTTTTTTATTACCCTTTTTTGACCCGTCCCATATCCGACCTGACCCGCCAGTTTGCCACCCCTACTTGTTAGAAGGGTTAAAGCTACTATACTATAGAGAATTCACTTTAAAGAAACTGGTGCGGGCTGAATGTTGAATTCTGTTTGAGGTTTTGTTCATAAAGCACCTACTTCCATACTTAGCTTTTCTCCTACAATGTCATTCTCCATGTATATGCAATTCATCATTACTTAAAGATCTTCAGTTTTGATAAACACATGATGGAGTCAATGTTATTGTTTTGTAAGAGAGGTTTCAATTATCTCTTTTTATTATTACAGGATTACTTGACTAATCCGGTGCGGATAAAAGTTGGAAAAGTTAGCAGCCCGACTGCAAATGTTTCCCAGATTTTAGAGAAGGTACCTGAAAATGATAAGGTATGTTTGGTGCTGAGCTTAAATAGCAAAAGATAACAGATTGACTTGCATTGCTTTTAATAGCTTCAATGTTACCATATTTTGTTGCAAGGCTTTTTTTTATTCGTTCTTGCTTGTTACTTATCTACATAGTTGTTTGAGTTATGCTTCTAACAGTGTTGCACTCATCATTCTTTGCCCATAGTGTGTGTCTTCCCCGTCTTTGACTTTCATTTTTTGATAAGGATAAAGAATCAATACTAAAATCTATGTCATCATAATAATGGATACATCCACATTCATGTTGATACAAGCTGTATATATGTGTGTGCTTTTGGGCGGGTCATAGTGGGTTGTTAGGCTTGACAAGGCTCTCCAGCCAAGAGCTATCTAATGCAGAAGGAGCTAACTTTTACTGCGTGAAGTGTGATGAAATTCCAATTTCCCAGCATAATAATATTCTAAAGTCTGGAAGGTGATAGAAGGTGTTAGAGAGTTCCGCTGTCTTTTCCCAAATGTTTTATCAATTAAAAAGGTACTCACCCTATTTATTCATTGTTTGGGAACAACTATGGTGAATCGATAGCAGTTGCCTGTGCTGGTGGGAGATAGCAGGTACCTAGTGGAATAGTCAAGGTGCACTCGAGCTGGCCCGAACATCGTCGTAACAAAAATAAATAAACAAGAGGCAAAACAGTAATACAATTCTTATTGAGATATCAAGGGATCTTCCATTCGCTAGGTTCTACACATATTACATGAGGGCAATCCTCCATGTTATCTTTTGTTTTGTCTATTTACCAGCAACTCCGTGGTGCTTGAGTCTTCAAAATGCAACTATAAGCGATTCACTTTTTGGTCTATCCTTTGTTGGATAATTTTCTGAAATATATGAAGGGTCTTCCGGGAATATAAATATTGTTCGTTTTGCAGTTGTGCCAAAGACCAAATATATATTAGAAATGCTAGAAATTCGAAGTTCAGTTTTACTTATGTTAGATTTCTTTTACAATTTTTGTTCATGGGGAAGACACAGTTATGTCATAAACTATCTTGTACTTGAGGTCAATCTTATATAGTTAGAAAAACAAGCTTTCAAGTGTAGATATTAATTGTCACCAGATCTATGGGTCTTGATCATGCTTGTAGCTTGATGTTGTTGTAATGATAAATTTTGTAGATTGACCGACTTTTGGATTTGTTGGTTGAGGAGGCAGCTCAATCTGAAAGATCTGGTCATCCCTTCCCTTTGACCATTGTATTTGTGGAAAGGAAGGTAAGATCTTTTGAACTCTGATTTTCCTTTCTGCTTTTGCCCTATCCATGCTAAAGCTGCCTTTTCCAAGAATTCCCTACTGAAAATTACAGAAGATCATTAAAGGAAAAAGTGAAGGATAATAATTTAAATCACCTGGTACTTTTTAAGGCGTGATTACCTTCGGGTTTCTTGTCCAATCTTTATTCTTTGTGTTACCTGCAAGGTAACAATAGTGATCTTGCAAATGTTAATAGTCAAACCGACCTTCTACCTGCCATGTGATCATGGTAACCTCTAGTGTCACATTAATGAACCGTGTGAAATGGGTTTGTTGCGTATGGAAAAAGTTAATTGTCTGTTGGCTAAGCTACATGGGCTTGAAAAATCCAACTTCTAAATGTGATAAAACCTGGTTCGGGATAGCCAATAGGATGATAGTTTATTGCTAACGAGAGTGTTTCATGGAATCTCAGCTGTCTGCATCAAGTAATTTTGTCAGAGACTTGCAAGAGCTATGACTAAACTGCCATAGCGGATTTTGGGTTCTCATAAAAGCTAGGATGCAAAGTCCTCCTATCATTCACATTGTTGGATTTAACCTAGGGCTGGGGAAATGTCGCCATAGATCATTAGTGCCCAGCTTTTCAATTGGAAGAAAAATGACAGAATTATAAATTTTCGTAACTGTCCTTGTCACATATATTGAAGAATTATTTCTCTGTTTACTCTGAGACTATGTATATTTTTAAATGGTAAGATTTGTATTCAATATAGCACAAAAATAGTGCTAGAGGATTCTGTACCATATGAGACTGTCTACTTAGTTTTAAGTCGTACGTGATTGCGCATTGCATGATTTAATTTAGTCTTTTCTGGGAGTGGGTTCATCTTTGTTTCTGATTAGTCTATCATTAGTGACCTTTAAGCTTGTAATATAGGGAGTTCTGTGGTTTAAAAAAATTATTGTTCAAGATTTAGATATCAGTTTTATGCTAAGTTACTAACCCCCCTCAACTTTAGCTCTGCAACTTTATGGTACCTCCAACTTCAATTTTTTTTCTGAAGTGCGGATTAGCCCAAAACATCTTGTTAACACTTGAGATATTAATAAGAATATAAAATAGTAGGCAAATTTAGTGACTCAACCAACTAAACTTCTAAACATCATTTTTAACAAAATACACTTGTGTATGGGGGTGAAGAAATGTGGAAAATACAAATGTATATGTTGAGAACTAAACGCCTGAAGTTGGGTTGTTACATTCTATATGAGCTCACATTGCCCATGCCGAACCCCGCCATAGAAGAGAGTTGTGTCAGATTGATGGACAGCGAAAAATTAGTCAATTTATGATGGACCCTCGGAATATTAAATGCGTTTAAATGAAGTGGAATGGATTTTGAAGATTTATATTATCAATTTCAGCTATATTGGTATCGGGACATAGTAATTTTTGCATTTACGCTTGACTGCATCTTTCAGTCCCGCATTGACTCCCAATAGTAGCCAGAGATTTGAAGGAGTCTGTCGGGAATGTAGAGTATCCTATTTTTGTTCTTTTGATGTCTTTTAATAATCAATTAGTCGACTCTGCCCCTAGAGCTTTGGTCTAGTGGTAAGAGCGCAACAATGATATGTGGGTTACGTGCACGTTACATGTTCAAATCATTCCCAAGATAAAAGCCTGGTATTTTAGTGGAGAAGGGTAAAGGGGCAGGCCCATTATGTATCAAGTTTCTCACCGTGCGCCACTAGCTCTCAGGGAGTTCTAGGTTATAAAAAAAAATCAATCGTCGACTACTACTTATTTCCATAGTTGGGATTGGTTATATGAATCCACCGTATTTATTCCGTGTTATTCAGGTCCACTTCATTTCAATGCAGAATAAAAGATCTTTGAAGGCAAATTTGGTGTACTGTTCTTAGTTAAGTTCGCATTGGACAAGGTTGTAATTTTTTTAACAACTTCTATCCATATGATCTTGTGTTGGTATTTATCTTGTACCTTTTCATCACCTTCAATCATCTTTTTCATAATGTCTTTTAATACATAAAAAATTAGTTTTGCTCAGCAAATGCTTTGAAGAAAAGGAGGATAAAAGAAAGATGGGCTCAATGCATCAAATTTTGGCTCTACATTTCTAGTACGTAATATAGTCTGGATTTAACGTGCGATCAAATTCGACTCAAAGAGAAAGATTAACTAGTTGTCAAGCTGAGCTATAAAAGTGTCATCGACTCAGTGAATCCAAATTAAGCTAAGGGAGTTCAAAAGCAGGATGCTAAACAATGAACTATTTCAATTCTAAAAAATTTGGGGTCGGCTATATGTATCATTTGTACTTATTGGTTAAGTTTATGTTTATTGCATTTGATACTAAATAATTTGTCTCAATAGAATGAGGGTTCTTTAAAACTGCAGGCTCATTAAATCTACAATTCTCTACTGAACAAAAAGAAAAAGAAAGAATCTACACTTGTCGCTATACGAACGTACACGTTCTAACTAGGAGAGGAAGACTCGTGACAAACATGTACATAATGTAATCGTAACAACAAAGCCTTTACTCAAACTAGTTTAAATTGTCTATGTCAATAGGCTCTGTTCTTAGTTAAGTTCGCTTATCACAGTAGATTATAGGTCTTTTTAGGCAACCAAGACCCTTTAAGTTGTTGAAGAGCGCCTCACACTGCATGTCTCTCTAATTAGGATTTCCATGCATTTTCTTTGACAACACATAGTATTAGTTTGATGTTTGTAATGTATATATTTTGATTTAGTTGTTAGTGTTATGAAGGCGCTGCCTGGAATAAACCTAATTAGTCAATTTGACATTAAAAGACAGACGTGAATTGAGAGAAGAGTATCTCTACCAAAACTTCTGTCCCGGTAATTTAGTTGAATGCTTGTTGCATTTAAATGAAGTGGTAAAGTGGTGTTAACTGGTAAGTATCATACATGTGAAAGTGCGCAAGGGCAGTAAGGAGCTTATTGTTAAAGTAGCATAAAGTTAAATTTGGTGGCTAAGTTGGGGGCTGTTCAATGTAAGGTTCTTAAAGAAGATATGTAAGACACTTGTATTTTTCCATTCAGCTCTTGGTTAAACCAATTTTTAGTGTAAAAGATGCCACCACTCACCAGCACTTTTTGCTCTGCCTTCATCTGTCAGTGGCTGTCACTAATCTGATTTGCTACATTCTGAGTCCATCTTATTCGTATAGGCACAGGCAGAGGCTCATTAGAAAAGCTCACTGTACACACTTGACACTTGAGAAACTCCTTAGGATTAGTACAACTACTTTTTTCCTTTTTTTTTTGGATCAGTTATTACAACTACTATGTTGTGCCACTTGACTTTTCGGGATGAGGGGGCTGACTTCAGTAACACAGCTTGTGATCCCCTAGAGGGGACAGTAAGATTGAGGATTCCTTTGATCTGGTAGTCTTTTCCCCTCTTAGAACTGTATGACTATCCCTTCCCTTCATATGCTTTTGTGGATAGCTATGGGTTTTTTGAGCTTGTACATCCATATGGCCTGACTGGTAAGTGATTTTAATTCTTGCACGGCTGTCTTAAAAATTTTGATTTACCTTCCCAAAGAACTTCAGTGCTTTTTTAATCTATAAATGCATGCTTTTAACTATGCATTATGCACCATCATCCTGCAGACGAAGTGTGATGAAGTAGCAGAAGCTTTAACGCAGCAGGGTTTGCTTGCAACTGCACTTCATGGTGGTCGTAGCCAAAGTGAAAGAGAGGCCGCCCTTCGTGATTTCAGACACGGTCCTATCAATATCTTGGTATGATTAAAACATCTAATTTTGTAATATTTCATGGATTTTTCGCTTGTTGAATACAGATTACTTATGAATTTCTTTGTCCCTGACTTATGTCAGGCAATAAGAGTATATATTGCCAAGCAACATCAGTTGGTAGTGCCTAAGGGTGTGAAACTATTTTGTTTTCCTTTGAGGACAAAGTATGGTTTCTTGAAATCGAATTGCCTCTTCTGTCCTTTATTCTTTTCTTTTTTCCCTTTTCTATCAGTCAGCTTTATTTTCAGAACAGGACTGAATACAAATATTCAAGCTTCACCCCTTTCTGATGCAAAAAGATGATCAAGGTTGTTATTTGTTTATTAACTTTTTAATTGTGGTAAGAAGAAATCTTTTGTGGGTGTTTGGACCAGGAACTGTCACGACCCAAAATCCCTCCGGAGTCGTGATGGCACTTAGTCTTTACAACTAGGTAAGCCTGATACATACCGAAATGATAACAGGTTCTACTAAACAACTATTAAACATGAACCAGAAATTTCTAAATAAACCAACAGTCTCAACATGATACAATATCCCAAAACCGGTAGTACAAGTCATAAGCCTTCCTAGGAGTAATTATACATAACGAATACATCACTGTCCCGAAATAATAGGAAACAATGGAAGTAAAATAGAAGGTGACTTCGGAGCCTGCGAACGTCCAGCAGGTGTACCTTGAAGTCTCCAACCGCACAAGCATGAATCTCAAAATCAACTCGATCCGAAGTACCTGGTTCTGTACAAAAATATGCAGAAGCGTAGCATGAGTACACCACAGTGGTACCCAGTAAGTATCAAGCCTAACCTCGGTAGAGTAGTGACGAGGCCAGGTCAAGACACCTACCGAACATGTAAACCTGTGCAGGATATGACATAAAGCTAACAAGGAAGGAATATCAATGTAATGCCAATAGCAGAAAGAATTCAGATTACAAACAATAGTAAAGATAAGGGGGACACGAATGGCAATGAGAAATAACCAAGTAATTAAGCAACAACATAGTCGGGGTACGGATGTAGTATAAATGTGTTCAAGTAGGGAAAACGATGCCAACTCAACCAATCAAATCATTTCTAATACACAATTTCAACAATCCCACTTCTCGTAATCTCATATCATAAATCACAACTTCCAAACCTTTAACACACATGGCACCTTGTGCCCACATTTTCCGTCTCACTTCGCACGGCAAAGTCCATGTGCTACTCGGTACATAATATCCGTGTCAAATGCTAATTAGGATGTTCAAGAGATTTATTTATATATCGTAAAGTAAGATTTCAGTTTCTGAACCAAGTAGGAAATCAATGGGGAAAAAAAGAATTTATTTTAGAAATCATTTGGGTGCAGAAAACAACATTTTCAACTAAAATAAAGCATCGGATAAGCTACTGAATTCAATGTAAAATTTATTAAATCAAAACATAATAACAATTCCCTTTTTTTTAAAGTAAAGTAAAAACATCAGACAGGGTAAGGAGATTAAGTTGAGAAATCAATTAAAGTGAAATACGACAACTATTAGAAATAGTAAAGTACCGAATAAAGCGACAAGTTTTAACTTAAGAGTCACATAAGATAAGCATGTTATTAATTCTTTTATTTAAAACCGTTATGTTACCACAACTCAACATGGTATGAGATAACGACTCAACGTAATAGATTCATCTTGAAAATCAATTTACCAAAATAATAGTAATAGGAAAGGAAAGCAGGGAATGATGGCAAAGCAGTACACTAATGGAACAACTCATTCCTCGAACACCAGTAAAAGAACTAGAAATACCAATCCTCAGAGTCTCGTACGAAAGAATCGCAGCCAACACAATACAACAAGGAATACAAAACACAAACTATTGCGGCGCGCAACCCGATCCCACCGTACAACACTATCCACCCTTATTCACCATGTAAATATCAATAATAATAAATATTATATATGTTGCGGCGCGCAACCCGATCCCACCATATAATCAGAGTCAATATCATAATTTACCTTTATTTTACCATATCAATCCATCCTTATTTCACCTGTTGCGGCGTGCAACCCGATCCCCCGTACAATATTAATATCACAATATAAATATCCTCCCTTATTTCACCATATCAATTCACCCTTATTTCACCTGTTGCGGCGTGCAACCCGATCCCCGGTACAATAATTTAAATCAACAACAACAATTCAATAACTCAATTTACAAGAATTTCTACAATCAAGGGTATGAGTACACGGTAACAAAGGAACCACGTAAAAAATCAGAGGAACACAACAAACTTTACAAAAATGACAGGACAAGTAAGGCACGTGATAACTAAGTATGCAATCACAACAATTAGGACATGTAGCAGATAAGCACAGAGTCATAGAAGAAACTCAACAATTAAGGGGTCACAAGACAATAAGGAAGCAACATCTTCAACTAAAGTATATGAATGCAAAGTATCATGTGAGAGGAAGAACAAGTGCCGACAACGTTGATTAAAGCATATAAGAGTGGATTCACAATGAAGGATATCACATTTTATGTCAATTAAATTAAAGGCATGTAAAGTGTATAGACATTCGAAACCGGTCAATTACCATATATAAGCCGTGTACCCACTCGTCACCTCGCGTACACGGCTTTCACATAACACAATTATCTCCAATCCTAAAGGGTAGTTCCCTCCACACAAAGTTAGGTAAGATACTTACCTCAAAGAACCTCGGACGGCTCAAATCTAGCCAAAATAACTTCAAATCATAAACAAAACTCATAGGAAACAATCCGGATAATAAAGCATCAATCTTTAACAAAAACTAAAAAGTCAACCCAAGGGCCCGCACCTTGGAACCCGATAAAATTCACAAAACCCGAACACCCATTCCGATACGAATCCAACCATACCAAAATTATCAAATTCCGATATCGAATCGCCTTTCAAATCCTCATTTTTCATTTTGAAAGATTTTTACAAAAATTCTCATTCTTTCATTCAAATCACTAATTAAATGTTAAAAACAAAGATGGAATTACGAAATATAATCAAATCCGGATAAAGAACACGTACCCCAAGCCAACACGTGAAAATCCCTTCCTAAATCGCCCAAATCCGAGCTCTCTAACTCAAAAAGTGATAAAATATCAAAAGCCCTCGAAATAAAGTACTTATACACTGCCCAGTGATTCCTCTTTACGCGATCGCGAAGAACAAATTGTTGCCCAGTGAAATAAAGCTTCGCGTTCGCGGCACAAACCTCGCGAACGCGATGAACAATGACCAAAGGCTTCGCGAACGCGTGCAGACAATCGCGAACGCGATGAGTAAAAGTCCACCAGCTCCACTATGCGAACGCGAACATACATGTGCGAACGCGGACAATGAACAGCTAAAGCATCGCGTCCGCGTAGAACAAAATTCCTGAGCTCTCCAGAAACCTTTCGCGATCGCATCGTCATCTTCGTGATCGCAAAGAACAATAGGCACACCAGCAAACCAACAGACCAAAAACATGGAGAAATAGCCTGTAGCCTATCCGAAACCCACCCGAGGCCCTCGGGACCCCGTCGAAACATACCAACAAGTTTCATAACATAACGCGGACCTGCTCGAGGCCTCAAATCACATCAAACAACATCAAAACTACGAATCGCACATCAAGTCGAACTTAATGAACTTAGAATTTTCAACTTCTACAACTCGCGCCGAATCATATCAAATCAACCCGGAATGACGTCAAATTGTGCATACAAGTTCCAAATGACACAACGGAGCTATACCAACTCCCGGAATCGAAATCTGAACCCGATATCAATAAAGTCAATTCTCGGTCAAACCTTTCAACCTTCCAAACCTTCAACCTTCCAATTTTTGCCAAAATGTGTCGAAACCTTTTAGAAATATCCAAATGTGAATCCGGGCATACACCCAAGTCCAAAATCACCATCCGGACCTAACGGAACCATCAAAACTCCGATCCGGGGTCAAATACTCAAAAGTCAAACTTGGTCAACTCTTCCAACTTAAAGCTTTTTAGTTGAGAATCATTCTTCTAAATCGAATAAACTGAAAACCAAAACCGGAGATTCACACAAGTCATAATACATCATAAGATGCTGCCCAAGACTTCAAATAACTGAACGGAATGCAAATGCTCAAAACGACCGGCTGGGTCGTTACAGGAACTTTTTCCGGAAAAAATATGCTTACTCTCTGTGTTTGTTTGGTCTGTTTTCCAATAAGATTTCTTAAATAAAACCAATTTTCTGACCCTTACAAACAGCTTTGAGTTCTAGAGACTTTTGGAACAGAACGGAAAAGTTTTGACTGCAAATACTATCTTAATTTTCAATCGACTTCTTCAAAATGATTTCCGAAAAAGCTGCACAAACACCGCCTTAAAGTCCCTCTTCTCTAAGAAGCTAAGTGGAAAGCAGACCTTTTGTTATTTGATGAATTACAGGACCAGCATAAAGTAGTTACGCTTTACACTGAATTTCTTTACACCAGATGAAGTTCTGAATGCTCATCTTTATCTGGCATGAGAAACTTGGTGCTCCTTTACAAATTAGATTACTGTGAATAGAATCATTTTATCCAACTCGTAGATGTGTCTGTCCAAAATTGTCCTATGAGGAGGGTCACGTACAAGAGCGGACAGTTTTCTCTGTGATGTAAATTTGGTTCTTCTTGGACCTACAACAATGGGTTTTGGAGACTCACGTTCTACTGACTTGAACTAAGAGCACTTTGTTATCAATATAGATACGACTGTAAAGAAAAAGGAAATTTTTTTACTCTCAGTACCACTTGTATCCATAGTCTCATACAATGAAATTTTTTATATTTGAATCGATGCGCTAAATCCCTTTCAATTTGGTTCTTCTTGATTGAATTCGAATGAAATAAATTTGGTTCTTCTTGACATTATTTTTGGTGCTTTTAGAACTTTCTTGTATCTGTGCAATTAACTTCTTACGATGCATTGGCAGGTCGCGACTGATGTTGCGTCTAGGGGATTGGATGTCACAGGAGTTGGACATGTAATTAACCTAGATCTCCCAAAGGTATATCGGACTGCAAGAAAAAAAAATTCTCTTTCAAGTTACATTTAGAAGTACTTATCATGGAAACACACTATAAAAACTTGCTAAAATTGAAGGTGCAACTTTTGGATAGTTAATCCAATCTGTATTAATAATAACATAGATTTAGAAGCTTCACATGCATAGAAGAGCAGTTCCAAGTCTGATTCTTTAGTTCTCTTCACAATGTTATTCTTCTAACTCTGGCATATTTTTGTTAGTCGTCTTAAGTTCTCCCCTTGGAAACTCTTCAGTTATCTACTTTATATAGGTCTAAAAGTTCAATTTGTTACCTTTAGTATGAGTAGACAAGACCTCATGCTGATGGCTTTCTGAATCTTCCTAATTATTAGACTTTTAACCAGTTACCTGTGCATGGAACTTGTAAAACGTTGATATATCTGTTCCTATGTTAATTTAGACCATGGAAGATTATGTACACCGGATTGGAAGGACTGGTCGTGCAGGATCAACGGGCCGAGCTACTTCATTTTACACTGATCGTGATATGGTGTTTCCTTTCTCTATACCCACTTTGTCTCTTGGCTTGTTCTAATAATGATGTTCATGTTTTGATTCCTGCTGTCTTACTTGGTTTAATTTCATAGTATCTTGTGGCACAAATACGAAGAGCTATTGCTGATATCGGTTCTGGTAATGATGTGACCTTTGCTATGGGAAAGGTATGCCTCTTTGCTTCTATATCATTCTTCTGTTCGTCTCCGTATCTAATTCCTCTTCCCTCACGCTCTCCATCTCAGAGTACTGCGTGGTTTCCTTTTCTTGGATTTCATTTATTTTATCTACCATTTTGAGTTCCTCTTTTCTTATTTGTTTGTCACATTATTAGACTGCTAGAAGAAAGGAGAGAGAGGCTGCAGCTGCCGAAAAAGAAGCAAGGAGTACATTGTCTAAACTCTCTTTAGTCGAGTCTGCGGTAAATGTGGAGGATAAATATAGGCACATGATTACCCCAGCGATGATAAAAAAGGAGGGAGCTGCAGATGATGCTTGGGATGACTGATGTTTGTTGTGAACATCTTATGTGCCTCTATACTGATGGATTGAAGCAGTGGCAAGCCCGTGAAGCTACAATGTTTGGGTGTGTACATCTGTAGTGCAAAAAACGTCTAACATGGAAAAAAAAAGAAACCAGAAAATATATATAAGGAGCTGCTAGCCTCGACACCCTTTTTGTATGCTGTATTGGTGTTTTCACACGTGGTTGTCAATGAAGGGAACATTGAGCACAGTTTGACAGGTATTGAAAGTCAGGCGGGAAATAGAGTTTCATTTACGTGCAAAAAAATGACTTATGAAATCTTAATTCCATTGTCTAAAATTTTGTTGTTGATTTGGTCTACAGCTGTTTATATTCTTTACTACGTTCAACCTCTTAGGGCAGGTGTAGGTGATGATCCATAGGAGTCAGATCCTTTGGGCTATAAACGATTAGAAAGGGGATTAAAGTCTGTGGAAGGCTATAGTGACGACACTTCTGTTGGGATATTCTTGAGCATTTACTCAAACTGCTTTCTGCATTACGCCTGCATGGCCCTGAAGAATATGAAATTAGAAAATTTATCAACAAAAAAAATGTAAATTAGAAAAAGGAAAAGAGTAAAACATTACGCATAAATATGCTTATGGATTTATTTTAGCGTAACAAATGTGATGATGATAGCTGGCAATTTCCACGACCATAATGGTGAGCGCGAGTGCAATTCAGAAAATTGTGATTTCAATATATGTTGCTGTAAATTCTAGGCTAGCACCCGAGCAAATCGATGCTGCACGGTTTTTGTGTCGTTAAGAGCACATTTCATTAACTTTGAATAAGTTGGATGATATCGACTTTTCAAAAGAAAAGAAAAAACAGTTGCATTTAACTGACATATTTTAGCAATTTGTGTCAAGCTCAAACTTATTTCCTGTGAAAGAGTTGGTGATTGCATAATGATGATGATGTAAAACAAAATAACAAGGCGCCTATAACTCAGTAAATAGAGTGTCTGTTTCCTAAGAAGGAAGTAAGTTTGACCCCTGCATGGCGCGTTATTTTTTTTCTAAAATCTGTTGCCAATTGGCTTTAGCTTACGGAGCTTTTCTTGTCATCTAAGCACATAGATTTATCCAAAGGAGGACCATTTATCACTCATACCGTAAAAATTTACCGTGATCCGAGTATATAAAAGTTGAATGAGAAGAGTACAACAGATTCTGTTCGAACCATGAAAATGTATGGGAGAATAGCTGTGTATAACAAACCACAACTCATATTCCTGCAATTACAGAGCCACAACACTGAAAGGCAAATGACTACAAAAGGAGCTGCCAAGCTCACCATTGAACAAAGGAGAACTGATCCCTAAACCAAAAGCAAAAAAGGGTGACAGCGAAAGGGTGTTTTGGACAAAAAAAGGGATGAAAAACAACCTGATCATAATGTACTTTCCCACCATCATTAATGGACTTAGGATGCCATTACAGGCAGTCTCTTCTGTTCCAAAGCCTGCCGAAGCCTTTGGTAACCATTTCTATAATGCTCGAGTGAGAAGCAAAGCTGCCTAATTGCCTCCCGTTTCTCTTCTGCTCCTTCCAAAACTATTTCTTTTTGTCTCTCTACTTCTCTTTCCGATTCTTTAACCCTAGACCTCAGCTCCTCTACCATTTTACGGGCCCCTTCTGTTTCAGAAATCAACGCGACATGCTCAATGTGCAGTTGGTGCAAATGGTTGTTCATTTGATCAATCTGATTATCTTTAGAACTTAGCTCTTCATCAAGGCAGGCAACTCTGGCATTTAGGGCATCTCTCTCTGTTACCAGTACGTCATACTTCTGGGATAATGCGTCGAGGCTTCTGTTCAGTTCTTCAATATGGCTGTCCCTCTCAGCAATGGTAAACTTTAACTGCTCGATTTCAGATTTAAGCAGCATCTCCATTTCTTCTTTCCCCGCTGCAGTTCGTCTAACATCCTCCTCTAATGATTGGCAGCGTAGATCCATTTCTTTGATATTATCCTCCAAATATGCTCGTTCCTTTAATAATTTGGTAATCTCACCTTGAAGCTGCATGTTTTCTTCTGCTAAAGCCTTGTTGGCATTTGATATTGATTCTTTCAGTCCTCTGATTTCTTGATCACGGTCTGACAAATTGGATTTGTACCTCGCAATTCGGTCCTGCAGCTTTGAGACTTCTCTTTTCTCTCTCTCAAGTTTGACTTTCCAGCTAGAAACATCTTTTTGTGCTGATCCAAGCTGATCCTGAAGTAATTTATTGGAGGATCCGTTGCTTTTAAGTTCCTCTCTAAAGCGCTCCACCTCCTTCTCTGAATCATGAAGCTTCTCTATCGTGCTCCTCAACTCTTCCTCAAGTGTACGGATCTTAGATTCTGGGTCCAAAACTTGTGGTTCTTCCTCTGTCGCATTCTCCTCGTCTGAAATTTTAGCTTCCTGTCCTGCATTAAGCTCATGGACGTTCTTTGCATAGTCCCCTGATTCATACCTCTGAAGCTCAATTCTCAACCTGCTAATCTCTTCTTCTGATAACCGAATCTTTTCTTTTGCATTTCTAAGTTCTTCATCATATCCAGCTATTCTAGCGAGAGCCTTCTCATTGCCGCCAACATGTGATCCCCTAAATGAGCTTTCAGAGATATCTTCCTGATGCGCGCGAAGCTTCTCTTTCACGTCGCGGAGCTCAACCTCCAATTCACTAATCTTCCTACGCAACCCTTGGTCATCATCATTGCTCAGTGTACTTGAGTAATTATTGATAGACGAATCATCTGATTCTGATTCAGAATCTAATGTTGACGATTCATCTCCTTCCTTGCCCAGATCCGAGCTGCTTCCACCTGTGCCAAGAAAGAATTCAAATCCAGCGGCACGAGGACCAGGTTTAGGGCGGCTAGGCCTCCGATCTGGAGAGGGCAACCTGGAGGGTGGTTCAGAACCCACGTCAGAGATGCCTGACCCCTGTGATTGAAGATCTGAAGGAACATTTTTCCGGAGCTCTCCAGTCACATGATCATAGCGCTCGGCTAATGAGCGGTACATGCGGTAGAATTCCTCAACTAGTGTGACCAATTCTGGCCTTTTCTGATAATACATTTCTGCCCTTTTAGCAAATGAATCTGCATCCTCTTCAATGAGTTTCAACATCCTTTTGACATTCTGGTCCATCTCTGAAATAATAGACCTATTTGTCATTTTCTTGTATGCCATTTTCTCCATTAAACATAAAAAATTCTAAGCATAATTGCCAAATTAGGAGTTTTTACAGTGCATTTCTCCCAGGAGAACTGCTAGTAACCTCCTTTGAGATGAATGGATGAAAGTGTCTAAAGTTACTATCATGGAATCACAAACAAGTATGGCCACCGACTTTTCTGACCTTTTTACTTATTATTTTCTGACCATTTTACTTTAATATAAAAAATTATTAAAAATGTAAAATATAGAATTGAGGCGTTTTACTCGCTATTCAAAACACATTTAGCCCCAGTTATTTAAACGGGTTGGATCATGAGCTATGCTGTTTTGACGCACCATCTTAATCCAACCAGCTCATTATGCAAGAGTTACAATGAAAGGATTATAGAATAAGATTAAAGTGAATAAGCTTACGTTCAAGATTATCTTGCATCCACTTGGAGTTTTTGGGACTAATGTGGCTGTCCCACCACCAAGAGTGTGATTTCTTCGACTCCATCCTCCTCATCTTATTCGACTTTACCTGAAAACAAAAAAATACAAAGTACCACTAGCTAGGGTCAATATATTCATCAGACAAGGCAAATACTACTCATTCAAAGAGATATCTTACAAAAGTTGATGCCATTCTGTCCAACTTGTTTCTCAGATAAGCAGAAAAATAATATGCCCTGCATAATTATGAACACAATATATATCATCAGCAACCTGTTTCGTAGTAGTATGCATCTCTACTACGATATGAAGCTCGAAAGCTTAACTATACTGCATAACTATGGTGGTTATTTAATTCAAAGGATCTATTTCTGCTGTTCATTGACATTCTAGTCATTTTTTTCAGATAAGGGACACTCTATAGTTAAAAGATTCTTTGAAACTTGTAATCTGAAACATGTCATTTTTATGACTCTAAAAAACTATGTCATTAATGATAAAATAAAAAGTTTAAAGTAGATTATTTCAAATAGTCATAAAAATAGGTCATTCTTGAGCAAATACAAAAGTTATGGTTACATTGAGTAGACATGTTTGTCTAGTATACCATTTTGAAAGAAAGAAAGTATTTTATGGTCAAATATATTTTCCTGAAACTAAAGTTTTGAATTCAAGGACCAAAGTGCAAGGATGAATGATTGGCAGGCCGGTGGAGGAATGAAATTGACAAGGCCTAATTGTGGATCTCGTCACTAACTGGGCCCACATGACATGAATGGGAATGGGCTGAAAATTGACAAAGCCCACCCACAAACAACAAATGATACGCACCTCCTATCGCACAAGGAACCGTGAAATATCTAATCCCACAGCTGTCGGAGGAACATCGCCACCTAAATTCACGCGTTCCTCATATCACGCTTCACGCCTGCCAAAAACAACTAATCGTAAACCCATTCTACCAAATTAATTTTAACAGAAGATGGCTTTATTGGATAAGAAACTACTAATTCGGCTCGGAGTTAATGTAAAATAACTTTAATGAAGAAAACAGTACAGTAGAAGATATGGTTAGTTCATACCCAAATGAGATAAGAAATGGAAATTAGTAGGAACAAGCTAGGATTCATTAACACTTAATTCTCACCAGATAAAGATTCAATAAATGATAAAATCCTCAAAAGGGCTTACCTTGGCGTTGAAGGAGGAAAAAACGAGGGAGGGGCAAGCAAAGACAAGAAAATCTAATGATTTGAGAGGAAAATACTAAAAACTCTCCAGAGAGATGCTTTTGCTTGGAACTATTAATTCGTCTCTTTTTATCAAGGGGTGGGGGAAGTGGTGGGAAAGTGGGGGCCGATAAGGATATGGGAACTGGGGAGGGACCAATTTTCCAATCTAATCTGAATTTGTTCACATGCTGATGCCCCTTCTTTAAAGTCAATATACTCTATTTTACTCGTTCTCTTACTAAATAATCATTTTTTCCTCATAAAAACCGTGTCATGTATTTTTATAAAACAGGAATTTATCTATCAGTAAGAGAAAACTGACAGTCCATTAAATGACAAGCAATCTGAAATATGACCAAGCAAATAAAGCTATGCAGTTGTTTACCTGTAAAACGATACAGTTAAATTTATAACGTGATTTATAGACAAGTGAATCGATTTGATCTCAAAATGATAAATAAATTAAATATAATGTAAG